GACGAGCCGGAGGAGGCCGCAACTCCCGGGGGAGACGCGCAGGCTGTGCGCCAGCTTCTCCTCGGCGCGCGGCACGGCGAGCTGCGTTTGGTGCGCGAGGCGCTGCGGAAGGGCGCGTCCGCCGATACGGTCGACGCGCAGCACCACTTGCGCCCCACGGCGCTGCACTGGGCGGCGCAGCACGGCTACGTGAGCGTGGCGAGCGTCCTCCTCGACGCCGGCGCCAGCGTCCGCTCCGAGAACGTCTTCCGCCAGACCGCGTTGCAGGTCGCCGTCTTCGAGGGGCACTCAAAGCTCGTCAAGCTGCTGCTCGACCGAGGGGCGGACCCCGCTCACTCGGACGCCGTGTTTGGATCTTCGCTCCACATCGCGCGGCACGAGGCGGTCCCGCGGCGGCGCGCAAAGACGCTGGCGCTCCTCGAGGCGGCGCCGGCCGGGGCGGCGGCTCCGCCGCCCAACGGGCTGGCGGATGGCCCGTCGCAGGGCCTGCCGGCCTCGAGCGGCGGCGGCAGTGGCGGCGCTGACGAGCAGCCGTACGGGCGACACTCTGGCGCGGTGGCGCTCGAGCTTGTGCGGGCGCACCTCTCTTGGCTCACCGAGCTGTGCAAGCACGGCGATTCCGTGCGCGAGGCGATCGCCGACGCCGCCAAGGAAGGGCTCCTCCTCCGCGTGCTCCTCGGGCTGCGCATCACCTGCGACCGAGACCTCCCCGTCGGGCCGCCGGGCGTGCCGGCGGGAATGGCCGTCGCGCAGCCGCTCGCGGAGCTCGACGAGCTGTGCCACTCGCTGCTGCTCTTCGCCCCGTTCAAGCGCGCGCTGCTCTCCGAGACGCTCCTCCTCTACCCTGGCCTCATCGGCCTCTCCCTTGTCTCGCGCGGCGAGCAGATCGCGCCAGGCGCGCCGGTCGCCACTCTCGCGCACCGCGCCGCCGCGGCCAGCAGCGACGCTCGGACGCCCGGCGGCTTCTCGGCCGCGAGCGATGGGGACGACGGGCTGCTCGCCGGCCTGCAGATGCAGCTCGGCAAGTCGCCCTATCTCGAGACCTTCTCGACGCGGCTCTTCAGCGGCCACGGCCCGGGCTCGCGCGAGGTGATGGCCAAGGCGGTGCCGACGCTGCTCGAGTCCCTCGCGTCGCTGCTCCGCGTGACGCTCCACCCGGCCGGGGTGGGCTGCCTTCTCCCGCCACCATTGCTGCCTCGTGCGCCTGCCGACCCCATCGGGACACTCCGCGTCGACACGTCGCGTTTCACTGCGGCCATGGTGGTGGAGCGCGTGCTGCGGCGCGGCCTCGGCATAGAGCGGCCGGTCATCACGCTGCCGCTCGGCGGCGCGGCCGAGGAGCAGGTGCTGTATGACCACGCGTCGCCCCGTGACCCGTCGTCCCCCTTCCTGTACAACGCACGCGAGCTCGAGAGGCCGCTGGGGGAGATCGACCTCGGCGATTTCGGCTCGGTGGAGGAGGCGGTCTTGCGAGTCTTCAACGGCCTGTCGTCGACAGAGCCCGACACGGCCGTCCAGTTCCGCATCGAGCACGACCCCGACGCGGTCACGCCTCACCGCGAGCTCGTCGATGGCGAGGACGTGCAGCCCTCCGGCGCCCAGCCCCGAGAGCCGTCGGAAGCGCCGCTCGGATTCGTCTTCAGCACCAACCGGGAGGTTGCCGACGGCACGGCATCCGAGGCCACCGCCACCGCCACCGAGCCCACCGAGGCTGCCGCCTCGCCGGCCGCCGCCGAGGACGCGGCAACCACGGTGGTGAACGCTGGGCTCGTGTGTGGCCGCCACTTTGTGCTCGCATCGCGCGGCTACGCGCAGACCATCACCGACTTGCGGCACGTGCTCTCCAACCCGGAGTATGCGCTGCAACTGCTGTCGGCTCTGGCGCCGGCCGCGAGCGACGAGAGCGCGCAGGGGCTGCGCGCCACACGCGCGCCTGTCGCCTTGGCGCTGGCCTCTCCCAAGGCGAGGGAGGTGCGGAAGGATGGAGAGGCCGGCGGCGCGCCGCCAGACTCGCCGTCCGATCGCAGCCTCTTCGCCTCCTACCTGGAGCTGCTCGGCTGGGTCCAACATATGGGTCCGATCGCCCGCGAGGAGCGCGACCTCGACGCAGCGCCGCGCGAGGACGAGGAGGACTCCTCGACGCTGCTCTGGCTGCACGGTTTCTGCCTCTCGGTCGAGCTCTCCTCCCTCACCACGCCGCTCCTCGCCCCCCTCGCGCCCGCGCCGGCCGCCTCCAACGTCGGCGGCGAGCCGCTCTGCCAACCGTGCAATGGGCAAGAGCCAAAGGGGCAGGAGCACGAGGCGATGCTGCGCTCGTGCACG